TCTCTCTCTCTCTCTCTCTCTCTCTCTCTCTCTCTCTCTCTGTGTGTGTGTGTGTGTGTGTGTGTGTGTGTGTGTGTGTGTGTGTGCGTGTGTGTGCATGCACACACAAGGACGCACACACCGTGTCATATGTCACTCATACACCCACAGAAGCATGGCTAGCATGCACTCATCGAGTTCGAACTGCAATCACAGGACAGAGGGGGACGGTATGTGTGCACTCCCAGGACAATTCGTGCAATGCAGGTCTCTGACCTGGTCGATAACACCACAGACGGCGTGCAGGAGGCCCACAACCACCCCTCCCAAAACAGGTATCAGAAGGATTCTATGCCACGTGTCTGCCAGCGGCTGCACTCTCAGCCAGGCGGCCCCATCTTTTGGTGTCCCTGCCCATGCCATATTGTGAATGGCATGCACCTGCACATTTCACAATCACAATCAAAAGATTCACAAGACACAGCGTTGAAAGAGAGAAAGGAAAAAATCAGAAAATCCAGGTGTTAAAAAGAAAAGAAATGAAAGAAGGGAGGGAAAAGGGTCACAATCACAAGATCCACAAAACAGTTGCATGCCAGCACACATGGAGTGCGTATGAGACAACGGATTTTTATTTCTATTTTTCACATAGCAGAAGTAAGTAGAACAACAGAATATAGTCTTTCTTTCTGATACCCTAGTCTCTCAAGGAAAAAAAAGAAAAGACAAAAAGAAAACAGGCTTTTTCAGATTTCTGATGCTATGCTATTTTCAGAGTGCCAGTCCAGGCCGAGCAGCTAATGGGCCCCATCCTTTGGTGCCCATCTGCGCATGCAGAGGTCGTCCCCGCCCAGCAGAGCAGCGGATGGGCATACTCGAGTTCATGGCACGCAATACCTGAAGACGAGATCTCCCCCTGTTCAGATTCAGTTAAGAAAATAAAAAAATAAAAAAAAACTTAAGAAGTCAGACCTCAAAGCCCGTTTCCTCTTTCTATGTCTTCAATGGATGAAGAGGTCTCCCCGCTCAATTTTGTATTTCCTACAGCACCACTTCCAGCCTCCGTATTATGGAATTCCGAAATCATTTCCCATAGTTTGATGAAGAGGTCTCCCTGATTTTGAAGAACAAAAAGAGTTGGGTTTGGGCTTGGTGAAAAAGGCATTACACGCAAAAGGGGTTGGGCTTGGTGAAAAAGGTATTACACGCAAAAGGGGTTGGGCTTGGCGAAAAAGGTATTACACGCAAAAGGGGTTGGGCTTGGCGAAAAAGGTATTACACACAAAACACAACGCATCACACTCCAAAGGCATGATAAGACAAGACAAGATGGGAATAGAACGAGAAGAAAAAAAGACAAGACAAAACATGAAAACAGACACGATAAGAATACAGGAGAAGATGACATAAGACGAGAAGATACACAAGACTAGGGGAAACCAAACGACAACCAGCCACAGAAAGCCCTTTGTGACATCCCTTCAAATTGGAACAATAAAGAGAAAAAAAGATTAGCACACCCCCCCCCCCGCTTTCAAGGATGACACGCCTAGATCGAGTAATGGTCCGAAAACTTTTTTTTTTTTTTTATAATATAAAAAAGGACGACGGTCTTGAGATATCCTCTTTGAGCTGACCGGCCCCAGGCAATTCAGCGTATTTGGTTTTACTCATCCAGTTCTATCATCTAGGTTTGAACACGGGTCTGTATTTCAACAGTTCAATGGTGTACCCACTGAGCTAGGCCCTTGCGTAACTTTTTTTTTTTTTTTTTTTTTTTTTGGTTATTTCATTTTTCCAAAAAAGGGGAAAAGGAAACGGACAAGTGTAACCAACAACCAAACGAAAGAACCGGAAAGGTGTGACAACCAAAAAAGAAATGGAACAGAACCGGAAAGAAAAAAAAAAAACAGGGGTGGTCAAACAGATCATCAGCAAGAAATTTGCACCTGGGTCAGAGTAGGGCACGTTTTTAAGAACAAAAAATTGACAAGGAGGGGGAAGGGGGGGGAAGGGGGGGTAGCACCAAAAATCATTGGTATCCACTAATCGGACAGAATTTGGGCTCCTTATCTGTTTATAGGCAGACGCCGTAATGGCCACCGTTCAGCCACGACCAGTAGCACGCACTTGTTCGACTGAATCTGACCGGAATCGCGGTCGACCGAATCTGGCTGGAACTGCGGTCAGATGCGTCTACGAAAGCAAATGTGAGTTTGCCCCTCACCAATTCCATGTGGCTTGGCTGAATGATATACCCCGTGGACTGGTTGAACGGCAAAGTCAAAGTCACGCTAAGCTTTCGTAGATGTTTCTGACCTCAGTTCCATGTCAGATACACCCTTCTCTGCCCCAAATCATAGTCGAGTGCATCTGAAATTGTCGCATGTTTTAATTCTCGAGAGGCCGCCGCCGGGAACTCGCGTACAACCGTCGTATTTCTTTTGTTTTGTTTTCTTTTCTTTTCTTTTATTTAATTTAGGGGGAAAACCTGCACGTACTGTAGAGCTTGGTCATCAGCGTCATATCCATCCTCGTCACTTGCATACATATTCAAGAATTGTTTGCTCGTTCACTTGAATTTGCTGTCCGACGCGATGCCCTTCCACTTTCGCAGGTCAGCCCCTACGACTACTGGGAATTCCCGCGAAGCCAAAAAAGAATTTGAGGGAAGAGAGTCGCCATAGCTCTCACACAGCTATGGTGCTCGCCATAGCTCTCACACAGCTATGGTGCCGGGCACAACCACATCTCTTTGTTGGCAGCGCGTGAGGATGTTCGAGTGGAGACACGCCACTTTCGCAGGGTAAGCGCCATGTGAGAAGAATCCGCATGTCAGAATCAGCATGTCCACTCGAACATCCTCACGCTCTACACAACCAACCACATCCAGCGACCGGGGGGCCGCTATCGCCGTTTTTCACCCGCTAACGCGCTTTTTGGCGTGGCCCCCGGCAACACAATTTTCCCAGTAGTGATGGAAAAAGATTTTAAAAATGGTGTAATGTAAGAAAAAAAGAAGGGAGGAGCTGGACGAACACCAGCAAATAACGTGAAGAAGGGGATGTTGATCAGAATCAACATACAAAATCAACGTTTTTCCGTCATTGAGAAGCTCTTCATCGCCTCTGCGAGCCGAAAGGAGAACGGAATGTTGATTCCAAGAGGAGGGGGGGAGGGGGGGAAGGGGGGGGGGGGGGGGGGGGGGGAGAAAAAGCCTTTTGCGAGAGAGAGGTACGAGAGAGAACTTTTTTTCTTCTATTTTTGAGAGAGCAATTTAAAATTACAAAATACGAAATAGAGAGAGAGAGAGGGAAAAGATCGCAAGAGAAGCAAGGAGTCCAAGTGAAAGAAGGAACGGTTATCTACCATTCCGATGAGGACAGGAGGACCTAGGTAAAGGGGGCATGAGGGGGCGAGGAGGGGATTAGCGAGCAGGAGGGAGGGTACAACCTGCATGATGGATGGTAAGCGGTCCAGGTACAAAAACCGAGGGGAGGGAGGGAGGGACGAATTTCCAGCAAAAATACGCAGTAGGGAGGAGAGGAGGGGCAAGGAACGAAAGAGCAGCAGGAGGGGGAGGAGGGGGAGGAGGGGGGAAGGGGCGGGGAGACAAATAGATCCAGCAATTAGTAATTACTTAAGAGATCAAGTTCGGAGAAACAGGCATTCAGAGTTAGGACAAAGCGAAGGAGAGCTGGGATATTATAGGCTTAGGACCCACATACGTGACACAGCCTGAGAAGAGAGAGAATCGTGAGGAGAGGGGGGAAGATGAAAGACAGATGAAAGCAGGATGAAAGACAGATGAAAGAGAGAGAGCGAGAAAACAATGGGTCGGGAAACCGACGCAGTCAGGAACTGAAGGGCGCGCGAGCGAGGGAGGGAAAGAGACAGACAGACAGATGAAAATGGGTCACGAAACCGACCCGGCCAGGAACTGAACGGCAAGAGAGAGAGAGAGAGAGAGAGAGAGAGAGAGAGAGAGAGAGAGAGAGAGAGAGAGAGAGAGAGAGAGAGA